TCAACCCAGCCTGCTCTCTCTACTTTGACCCTCCCCTGCTCTTTCTCTGCTTTAACACAATCCCAGCCCAGCTATTTGTCTCCCTCCTTGTGATTCCTTCTCCTTTCCCTGCCTGGCTCTCCCCTCCTCATCGTAAACCAAAGAGAAGTCCATAGGACCAGGCTCTCTCCATCTGTCATAAAACCATGTTCAGTGATTCCTGTTGCTTTATTACAAAGCTCTGGCCTCCTCTTAGTAATGTCCCCTAAGAACGTCAGTCACTCACCACCAACCCCTATTTGGCCCCAGCCTCATTTCTAAGCAGACAAACCCCATCACTGGCTTTCAAAGACTCTCAGGCTCTCAACTGTCATCCACAATAACCTGTCCACTCACTCTCTTGATGATAAAGCGAAAAGGTTCCTGGGGTGCCTGGGTGGCTCAGTCATTAAGCATCTGCCTTCGGCACAGGTCATGATCCCAGGATCCTGGAATCGAGCCCCTCATCGGGCTCGCTGCTCTGCTGGGAAGCCTGCTTCTCCCTTTTCCACTCCCCCTGCTTGTGTTCTCTCTCTCACTGTCTCTCTCTATCGAATAAATAAATAAAATCTTTTAAAAAAATAAAATTTTAAAAAAGTTCCCAATTGACAATAGGAATTCAAGCTCCTTAGCCAAAAATGCTGGGCCCTTGCATTATAGCCTTAAACTGGCTTTTAAATTTTTAGACTTTGTTTAACTTTTACTCTTCCATTCGAAATACCTTTTCCTATCCAGATGTCTGAGCACTGTTCCCCAAGCCAGTCTTACCTGTCCCTCTCTTCTGGCCTCTGCCTTGCTTATTGCTCACTTAGAGCAACTCTGAGACTCTTAAAAGTCTCTGAAACAGAGAGACTAAAAGTCTGTATCCCATAGGACATTCATTGGATTGCAAGAGTTAATGCTAGGAAGGTCTTATGCACAGTGCCTGCCAGATGGCAGGGCCGCCTGCGTAACCTCACTGACATTGTCCCTGACCTCCCCCACCCCGATCAGCACAGGCCAGCTCCTCCCAAGCTGACCTCAAGCGTCTCCTCTCTAATAAATCTCTTCACCTCTTCTGAATAAAACGGACACTTTATCTACCATCACATGGCAATGGACCCAACCAGCAACGCTGCTGGGATTGTTTCTGACACTGCTNCAATGGACCCAACCAGCAACGCTGCTGGGATTGTTTCTGACACTGCTCAGCTCCTACGAAGCTCCGTAACCTTTCAGCTTTGTGGCTTTCTTAAAGAACCTGAACTTCTCATACAGCGGAGACCACATCTTTGCTTTTCTTTTTTTCATATATTCCACACTCATTATTCCTTCTATAAGTTAGGAACCTGTATACAATAAGTACTTAAATGTTTCACTGCTGACCGTTACAGGACCTTAATTGTGATTCAAGTTTGCAAACAAATAAAACAAAAAGCATGACATTTTCCCCAAGTGTACAAGTTTATATAGACACATGCACACACATGTATGTATTTTGGGTGTATATATCTCCATATATGCATTTGTATGCAAATCTGTGAATGCAAATACCCACGTAAGTATCCATATGTATGGACATATATGGGTATATGGATATATATGAATACTTACATAGGAATTTGCATATATATATATATACACATATATGTATGTATACGCATACATACATATACATGTGTGTATGTACCTCTGTGTGTGTGCACTTCAATTAGCACTGACCGCCGACATTTTAGGTATATTCTTCTGTTCCCAGTAATTCAAACATCTATTAAGCCCTGCACTCTCCAAAGCAGTCAATAATTATACTAATTAATCTTTTTGTTAACAAAAATTTTTAATGCAAAAAATTACCAGGAAATAGGACACTGAAAGTGAAATCTTTGGAAAGCAAAGAACATACCAGCAACGTCAATAAATAACCCTTTATGATTACGTAGCTGACTTCATTCACATGGACGGCCATCTAGACAAATAACCCGCTCAAACTGAAGAATAAAATGCCAAGTTTCATACCTTTCTGAATTCAGAGTCTGATCGACATAATCACTTTTCAAAGCATCTAATTCACTCTGAAGAAAGGCTATGTTTGTGCTTCTGAAAGATCTTTCTTAACTTTCTGATTTTCCTGAAGGAAAGGAACAGCACAAGCATTAGATTTCGGGCATCTTCCACCCGGGAGAATCAAGAGTAATGGAACCTCACACCCCACCCCACACCTCCACAGTCCTTCAAACCTTGGGTGTTCGAAGAACTAGTTACCAATTCAAGGTGATTTCAAAATATCATAAGGTAGTAAAGTCTCAAAAAGCTAAATCTTTGAAATTGTTCTTTTTTTTAACGTTTCACATTTGGTGCCAAAAAACTCCAGTCAAGACGGGATCGTGATGTACTTTAACATGTTACTGGCAAATTAACTCAGATCAAACATGTAAACATCTGTTTTATACAATGAGAACTATTAATCTACTGACAAATATGCTGTGGAATTAACAGTATTTATCACCAGGCAGATTGGCTGATTTTTACAATAAATCTCATCAACTAACATTTGTGATTTTTGCACTTAAAAATAGTGTGTGTTTTTTTTTTAAGTCTATGTTTTTCTTAAAAAAGAAGGAAAAAAACACTGGAGGCTTCCAGTACAAAATGATGGACTGAACACTCTTCTTTCCCTTTGAAGACCCCATTCCCATGAAATACCAAATAACATGAAATAAACCAATACAGGTTACAAGAATGCAAGAGGGGCCCCCCCAACACTCAAGTGAATTAAATACATTCCTGGAAGATGGAAACTGGATGGAAATGTGTTGACAGAAGAGAAGAGAGCAGGATCACAGTAGGTCTGGAAGAGGCATGGGGAAGGTTGTGCTACAGAGCAAAGGAGGAGGCAATTAGCTAGACAGCACCCGCCCCCCAACAGAAGGAAATGGAGCTTAAAAACAGATTAAATTTGTGTATTAAGGCATGCAGCCCACAGCCCCTGGGCCATCCTCTCTTACACTAGCAAAAAATAGCAGATAGTCAGAGTCAATTCCCAAGGCAGTAAGACAGGGCTTGTCTTTTTAAAAAGAACTGAAGTCAGTGCCTGGGTGGCACAGTCAGTTAAGCATCCAAATCTTGGTTTGGGTTCAAGTCCTGATTTCAGGGTCATGAGATAAAGTCTCGCCTCAGGTTCGGTGCTCAGCGTGGAGTCTGTTTCAGATTCTCTGCCTCTCCTTCTGCCCCCACTTGCTCTCTCTCTCTTTCAAACAAATAAATAAAATCTTAAAAAAAAAAAAAAAAAGGAACTGAATGACCCCTATACAGTGTCCTAAGGCTTCTTATCCATATCCCACTCATTCCAGTCATAAGGGGTCCCCCATTCCAACAGCCAGCTTCACACACACAACTCCTAGGAAGACACCCTCTCAGGGAGGAGGTCCCAAGGTAAACAGATGTATTTACCTAGGTGCACAGGAATCCTACACCAGCTACCTAAAATGTTCAGAAATTCCAGGATGATGTATAGGTAGTGAGTTTAAAAAACAATCAGTCCAATAAGAACTGAAATTTTGGAGACTCCAAAATTAACATTTTCAAAGAGAAAAAACAAATTCCACGCATTGGGAAGAATAAATAAGAAGTTGGAAGGCATCAGTGGATGATGTCCTGAAGATACCAGAGTTTCTTTTTACAAGAAACCAAAAACTCAACCAGGAAATGCAAGAAAAATTAGCAACTCTACAAGAAAGTCATGATCCAAATACAGAGCTAACTAAGATAGGGCAAAATTTGGAACCGATGGCACAGTGCAACTTGACCATGAAGCTAGGGGCCTTCTCTTCTGAGTGGTGTGGGGATAATGAATGGAGAGAAAGAAATGCACTTGCAGCAAGCTGGCTCACTTCTGGGCTCGGCAGTGAGAATATTTAGTCCTAACAAAGGAAATGTTCACTAGTGGCTTTCAACTTTTCGAGAGTCCACCTAAAAACAAAATAAAGATAGCTTAATGATGATGATAAAACAGATGCAAAGGCTGTCAATTTGGCAACAGAAAGACCAAAGGTAGGGTCATCAAGGTGGGAAAGGGACAGAAAGAGGAACACTAGAGGAAGAAAAGGGCAATTATCCCCTCATCCCACAAAGCCTGGGATACAGAGCAGAGCTGAAGTTGCAGGAATGCGGGGTTAACTATGTAAAGTGCAAGGGCCATGCCACCATTGCTGTGAATAAGAAATAAATAAAAGCATTCACCACAGGTGGGGAATCATTAAGGATAATAGCCTGAATAACATGTTTGGTAAAAGGTACATCAAAGGCTTTCTCTCACTGCAGTATTAATTTCTCTCCATCCCCGGAACACCCATAAACAGCACGATCATGTCTAGTTGTCGAAGAGGAAATGTATTTCTGGGAATGAAAGGTGATTCTTACCATTGATAAATCATAAATTTGCTTTTTTAAGGCAGCCACATCTTCTTTTTGACTTAGGTGTTTTGATTGTTCTTCTAGCTGAAAGAACAAATAAACGCCGTTAATGTACAAACTCACTTTGGATTGATTCAGTTAAGTTTATTAGTAGCCTTGAATATATAGCTAAATTCTATAGGAATTCTAAAAGTCTTCAATTTTCAACATGATACAACTTTGTAAATCATTAAGCTACATATAATCCATGAGGATTTGAAAACTTGGTTTCAATAATTTAAGCATTTAAAAAGGGCTTTTTTTGTTGTTTTTTTGTTTTGTTTTGTTTTGTTTGGCTTAATGAATTTCCTTTGAAACAACTGAACAGTCCTTTTGGGAAGCTATTCAACTACTAAGCGACCTAACTTCACCTTTTCAGTTACGTTACATATGAGTCTGGACCTTTATATTCTCCTAGAAATTTATCTGTACTTAACACTTTCTACCCTGTATTATAATTATTTACGAATGCCTTACCTCTCCTACCAGAGTCCAAGATTTTTAACAGCAGTGTTAGCATCAGATTCACTTCTTTTTTTTCACAGTGATTCCAGTAAGTGCTTATTAGAATAACTGAAATCAGTATCAGTGTGATAGGAAGCCAGTGACATATGCACCCAGACTCTATGGATACATACCTGAGCTTGCTTTCTGGGTGACTTGTCAGTATCACCAGACTAAACCAGCTCAGGAGCATCTCTAACATGGACAACTAAAATGTCTCTCCTACAAAGAGCCGACAGTCCCTGGAAACAGTGGGGATCCGTGGGTTTCCATTACTGAGTAGTTACGCAGTGACCAAAATGAATGCTAAATTTCATCACACTAAGTCAAAGCCTAAGTAATCTGATGCTGGACTTTCTTCATCTTACCAGATGCTTCTATTAAAAGTTTTCACACAAGACCACGACTCTGCCCCCGGCCAGCTCTGAGAAGAGCCCTTGTTTTTTTCAGATGCATGCCACTTTCACAGAAGAAAAATGGGGGTTGGGGGGACTAGGTTCCTGGGGCATCTGGGTGGCTCAGTGGGTTAAAGCCTCTGCCTTCAGCTCAGGTCATGATCCCAGGGTCCTGGGATAGAGCCCGGCATCGGGCTCTCTGCTCAGCGGGGAGCCTGCTTCCCTTCCTCTCTCTTTGCCTGCGTCTCTGCCTATTGTGATCTCTGTCAAATAAGTAAATAAAAATCCTAAAAACAAAACAAAACAAAACAAAAACTAGGTTCCTCAGAATCCATGGCTTAGGGTAACGGCAGTCATAATCAATTTGTAATCTTTTCCATAGTTTAAGCCTTTAACGTTCCCTCACGTAAATCCCCATCTGCTCTCTTATAAAAAATCCTCCGCAGCAGGCGGGAAGTCTGGTACAAGTGAGAAAGCGCAAACTGCGTAGCGAGACCACTCCACGGCTTACTGGCTCTGTGACTCGAGGACTCC